TAATCAGATGTCCTTTAGCTAAAAGAAACCGAGCTACTATACTTCCGATCATCCCAAATTTCCTGATATATATTTTTTATTTCGTATGCTTAATTTACTTTTCCCCTTTTTCTTGATACTTTAACAACGTTGTTATTGTTAATTCTAATACATATTATTATAAATGAACTACAGAACTTTTACGTATATATCATACGATATTACGTATGCATTTTTTTTCGTAATTGAGTATAATTCTGAAAAAAAAAATTATATGTAACTAACTGTCGCCCACTATTCTGGCCACACCGAATTTAAAAAAAAACTTAATAGTCGCTTATGTGTTCTTCCATACTACATCTATGCCAAATTTCAGCGAGATTCGTTGAGCCGTTCCGATGATAATTTCAATCAAATCCATCCATCTATCTAAACATTTGCATTTATAATATTAGATAGATTTTGTGGATCATTTAAATTGACTTGTATATGTAGTAAGAGTTTTCAGCAACATCAGTGTTGCCGTACGAAACAATCAATCTTATTTAACTCGTATCGCTGCACAAAGTAACGTTAGTAAGACGTGCGAGTTTGAATAACAAATGTATTCCGCATAAGAGTAGCTTTAACTGCATAGAAGCATTATACTTAGTACTAAGTAGCCTTTAAAGCTTTGAAAACTTTTAGTTTTTTTTTCTTTTTTGCTGACGTTGAAGACTTTTAAGTTAATAGTAAAACATTTTTTGTAGAAAAGCGAAGAAAGAGGATGATAAAGTAAATACTCACAACCCAGAATCTACGAAAACATATAAATACGTGTAAAATGTAACGAAAATCCCTGTTTGTTAGCTGTAAACTATTAAAGGCATTACTAAAATAAAACGGAAAAGTACGTTTATTTGTAAATTTCGTTTTAAATCCACCTCTCCTTGTTATTTTCGGCTGAGTGCAGTTGTCAGATTTCTATTGTTCGCATAGACTAACAAAGGTAACTTTTAACGGGAAGTTTTATACAGTGGAACATTTTTAATAGTTAACAAATACGTTTTTATTTTATTGGTTTAGGTCATACGTAACAATGTCCGGCTAGCTTATATTAACAAGATAACATAAATTAAGAACTTTTTATACTCAGATAAATTGGTATATAAAATACGCACTCTTTTATTCAAAACTATTGCTTCTTAGAAATTTCACCTCTAGAAAAATTGCAAATAAATCTAGAGCCTGGAATGTATAGATTCTTTATTACAATTAATTTTGTACTTCACGAAGAGAACGTATCACAATAAGTTACCATGAAATTCTCATATATTGTTCACATCAGAACGCTATATTGTTCGCATTACGAGTTTACATATGTAGTCGTAGTACGCCACCCCAATACATCCATGATCAAGGTGGACTCTTTCGATGCTTCAAAATAGTGATTCCTATTAGCGACTCTTAATATTTCTGCACCCTAGTTGCCTAGAGCCTCTTCTCTCTAGCCTAAGGCCACAAATATCGACTGTTGGTTCACTCATGACCCTGCACACCAAGCTCCTCCTTTACTTTAGTCAGGCTGTTCCACTGTAGTTTAGTGTTGTTTTAACGTAAATATTCACATTAAAACAAAAATTTAAATCTTTACAAATTCAGTGTAAATTTAGTAAAATTTCATTTAAAATACGCAACACAAAATAAAAAAATATTCAACATTCCGTGAGTTATATTTTACAAGCGTTCCATTCCTAGTACTCTACAATTCATTTCACCTTCCGCTTTAGAAATCATGTTTCTAGACGATAAAATAAAATTCTCTTTCCATTTCCTTTCAGTTCTTTAAACACTTTATTTTCTATGAAGTGAATAAATTATATTTTTTTTTAAGATTAAATGAAAATCTAAAAAGGCATTTAAGTTAGAACTTTTTAAGATAACTATCAGTTACCTTTTGAATAAAGCCAAGCTTTTATTAATAAGCTATCAAAACATCAAAGGAACATGATTATATTATATATCTGTTAAACATTCGAAATGGTTTTCGAAGATCGATAACATTAGGTCACATTAGGTGTCGGAAGCCTAATTTTAGTCCTCCTCGCCTTTCCATCCTTTTCTTATGAGAAAAGGTGAACTTGGCAGAAGGATTGGACGCATAGCAACTATGATATGTTCTTTCAGTGCGACCCCTATTCTGCCGATTAACGGTTGGTAAGGCTTCAGCAAATGCATATGTCTATAGGCAGCAACACTTTTTTACCATATTGTATGGCAAAAAATAAAAAAAAAATCCATGTCTTCAGGGTGTGATTTACCTACAATTAACTGCAATTACGAACTGTTCATTGTATAAGACTCTAACTCTTGTAAAATGAAATATAATTGTGCCAAAACATCTTAATCTTTTAAAATAAATTCATAAGTGCTCTTTTATGGTTATCCCGGTTACTTCCCGTTAGAGAGTCGGGTCCGAGATTTATGTATCTCTTGAATAATTCATGCTACTTAAACGTGCAACTCTTAATAATAAACTAAACTTTTATTCAAATAATTTATGTTAAAATGTACTTTTATGAAATAGAATTAAGGAATTACATACATTTCCTAGGAATATTATACAATACCGTAATACATACATTTCTTTAACATATAAATAAAGTAGAATAATCCTTAGGGATGAATCTTACGAACGGTTTTGCGCCCTTCCATTGCTAAAAACGGGTCAGGGCATATAATATAATAACTTAACCTGAACAGACAATTTCTGATTTAAAGTTGGGAAGTCATATTAGTATTTTCCCAAAAATTGCGAACAACAACATTGCGAATTAAGTGGATACTATAAACTATTTCTTATATAATTTGTATATATGTCAATTATAAAAAGATAAATATCGTGTTTAAACATTGCAATTTTGTTTGCTGAAAAGACTTGTAACTAACCCATTACAGGCGTGTTGACAACACTGACTCTGACAGCTGACAGTAGAGGTGACACTGATATCCTCACTTCGCGTAAAATCGCAAAAAAAATCGAATACTAACATAATTACTGGATAAAACCTAAATAAACTTTGGCCTACGCTCCTTTTATTTTAATGAAATAAACTACAAAAAATATGGTTCGCCGACTGCGTGAACAAAGTACAACGGAGGATGAAATTGTTATAGGTACAAATTATTTATGTTATGATAAATATACCTGAATATGCGAAATTATAAACTGTAAACAATTTTAGATACTTCACAAGAAAAGAAACAAAAGCGGCATAAACACAAAAAACACAAAAAGAGAAAACCTGAAAATGACTATGAAAGTGATACATCTATAGATGTCTCATTTGAAGATGTCTTAGATAAACCGTACAAAGTTAAGTCAAAAAAAGAATTACCTGGTACTTCTGCTGCTGATTATTTAAAGTCTCAAACCATGAAATCATCCTCTGATTCAAGAAAGTCTATTCCCGGCTCATCATCTAGTACTCCTCCAAAAGCAACTGCAAAGAAAAAGAAGAAGGGTAAAGATAGTGGCACTTCTAGTGACGAAGAAAGATGGTTGGATGCTATAAAATCAGGGAAACTTGAAGAAGTAAGTAAATTTAACAAAGTTATCTACCAGTTATTTTATAAAATCTCCCTAACAGAGTTGTGGGAAAGGTCTAGGCAAGGCAAGGTTTAACATAAAAAATTTCTTTAATAATAAATTATTTAATACTGTTTATGATCAAGACATAGTGTATGTTTGAAAACTACCCTTAAACAAATATGAAAAATCTTGCACATGTTTGTAACTATAAAAGTATCTGACAAGGGTACAAGTATGTCTAACATCTTATTGTTTTTGTTTTGATTAAATCAACTCAAAGAAATTGAATATCAAAAGTTATTTTTTATTGTTTCATTTGTTATTGGTATAAAATATTGCTTATTAAGCTAACGTAAAACATGTAATAACTTCTTGGAACATTCCATTTTAGGTGGATGAAGAGCTGAAAAAGATAAAACCAAAGGATCCTAAAATGATGACAGCAAGACAAAGAGCAATGTATGAGAGAGGAAATGATAAAGAAACAAGCCCTGGAGGTGAAATACTGCTTGCATTGCCTTCTGGCTATAAAGAAAAGGTCATGACCGCAGAAGCTATACAAAAGGCTGCCTTAAAGTCGCAAAAAAGAAAGCAATTAGCTGATGAGAAAAGGGAAAAGGATAAGAAAAAAACAATGGATAGACTTTTGAAAAAACAAGAATCGAAAAATGTAAAAAATGCACAAAAAGGGAAGCCAAACAGAAAACTTGAGCCCATGATAGTGTATAAAAATAACAACAATGAAATCACTTTAACAATGCCCCCAGACATTCCTTATCCTTTAGAAAGAAAATTACCTATTGAGACACCAAAGCCTGTAATATGTGGTGTTGATAATTGTGTTAATATCAAAAAATATCAATGTTCTAAAACTGGTGTTCCACTGTGTAGTTTAGAATGTTATAAGAAAAACTTATTAACATTAGCTCAATAAAAATACCGAAAAAATAGTTTTATCTTTTATTCTTGCTAATAAGATCTAAATAATGAAATATTAAGCTTTTTTCATCTTTGCAATGGTATACATCAATAATGTTTTATTTCAATAAAAGACATCAAATAATGCGGAAACAAAGATTATATATTTTTTCAAGTACACATAAACATCCAAGCAATTTTACAGTTAGATTGTGATTTTTACATTGTTGATAGGAATAACCAATATTAACAAAACAGTAAGATCTTAACTTTTTTGTAACATTTTCAACTGAACTTTAAAGATATAAAGCTAATTTTAACGTGACATTTATACAGAGTAACTATTTTTGTCTATGGATTTCACCGTATAAGATTCTCGCTACTTCCTAGACTAATAGCCTCAATCAAGATTGTCTGGATATAATATACACATGTGTTCTACAGTATACTAATTACATATTTTATAATAATATGAAGATCAAGTACAATAAAATAACACATCTATAAACCAATTTTACATTTTAATTTAAATGAAGGAAGAAATGTAGATTTATTTGATCAAAAAATATGAACATTATTATAAGTTATGAAAGTTAAGATAAATATTGCACCTAAGACATTACTTATTATAGTTAACACATCAATTTGGCAATTTATTTGAGCTATAGTCAATATAAATTTAGTACATGCAATTTTTCTACAATATTTCATACAATGTACTTTAAAGTTTGCTTTATACAATCTATTTGACTACAAAGAACATTTAAAATTCCAATAAGTTATGTACGCTATGTTATGCTATGTTTGCTATAAATCCATAGATCCATGAAGATTTTTTCTGGAATAAACATGATAATGGCTTTCAACCACTGATCTCCATAAATGGTAGTTGCTTGTTTGATTGTTGTTGGTTTGAATAAATGAAAGCTTTTGTTTGGTTCCAACTTAAGTGTGCCTGTTAACATTACTGACACTACCTTTTATATTAGTTTGAATCCTCACCACTATTACCAATCGCAACTGTCACTGCCAAAATGACGAAAATCAAATAGGTACACATTACTATGGCTTATAGCCTGTCCATGTATAGGAGTCAGTGCTTTTAACCAACTCACATTCTTCTTTTTATGTTAACCTATGCCATTACATATTCATCTTTACATGTTTTCCACTAAAGTTCACTTAAATCTGCATACAAATACAGATAATTTTAAAGCACTACATACACATTTTAATTTCAAGTGATACATTGTAATGACCGAAGTATATTTATGACATTACAAATTTAAATATAAAGTACATCTTGCTAGTTATTTTTAATATACTACATCTATATAATATTTAAGATACATAAAACGTTTAAATATATCATAGATATGTAGACACATTAAGTAAATAGTTTAGGTAAATAGTTCATCAGAGTCTAGTCACAAATGCCACCTATACTTGAAACATGTTATAAAATTCAGCAAAAGGGTCTATAGCACTGTAAAGGATTACAGAATGAAGCAAGGTGGACAGCCATACGATAAATCGTTGCCAGCTGCGTATCAGACATTTGTCCTCTTTGAGTTGCGTAGGCGGGCCAGGCCTGACTGTAACCGCTAAGACTGATTATTTTGCTTGTTGGACCTGAGTCGGGCCAAACCCGAGCGCTCCTCTTCCTCATCGCTAGTGCATGATAGCCCTCCAACAGCTCCACGAGATGAAGTCGCTTGGATCAAATCTTGATCAGGTCCATTTCTACTCTCATAAAGCAAAATGCCCAATGTCTCTTCATAAATCCTGGCCTCAGGGAACTCAACCTTGGTGTGCTTTTTATCAGTAGCATAAACAATAGATGTGCAGCAAACTTCAGCACATTTCTTTCCATGACCAAAGAATGACCAACAGCAGATTTCAGTAGAACCAATGACATCCTTGATGAAAAGCACCCTTCCACTAAAGCGTAGCGAGAGCTTGTCAAAGAGTTCAATGTTTTTAAGCAAATTATCATCTGAAGTGCTGGTATATGAATACTTGTTGTTATGGCGATTAATCAGCAGCTTCACCACAGGCTGAAATAAAAAAATATTATTGTATAAATATATTCATTTATGATTATTCTTGAGACCCATTTTGATTATTACTTACCTTTGATGTAGACATTATAAGCAATTGCTCCTCCCTTTGTGAGGTAATCAAAGGTACTCGGCAAATGGGTTCAGCATCTCTTTCCTTCTTATTCAAAGCTTGCAAACAGGCTTCTGTAAGCTCTTCGATCAGGAAATACTTAGCCTCGGCGAGCAGTTCCATGGTCTCACGGAAACTCTCCGGTAACGCAACTGACCCATCGCGCAAGTAATTTAATATAGTACCGAAATGTTTGCCGCACCGGTCGATCAAAATCCAACCTATAATGACATTTAAAAAAATATTAACAAATTTAAAGAAGACATGAAGCGAAAATAATGAAATTGATAAATACCGTCGGAATCAGTTAATACTTCCATCCTGCCACTGAACATGGTTCTCAGCATGTTATCACTCTTAGTCAGCGTTCCTATTGTTGTATAAAACAATGTCCCTCCCACATTTAACTTTACATACTGTGAAGGGCTTCCCTTCAAAAATGTTTTGTGATCGCCCGACATTTTAGAAATTATTCAGAAGTCAGAAGAGATAAACACAAACAGAGATGGCGGCGATTTTTGTTCTCAAGAACTGACTATTGAAATGTGGAACTATTTGTTGTTTTCCATCGATATAATCACGTACACCATAATGTTTGTGAAATATTGACATAAATATTACAAAAATACTACAATAACTGACAGTATTGAATTTGCAATAAAAAATGTCAGACAGACATATCCAATCCAAAGGTTAACCCAAGCGTAGGCAAAGATTAAATCAATTACTTCATTTTCGACATGCGCACTGAAATTGAAACATGCGCCAACATGCGCAGTGCACAGTAGTATTTTTAATCTACATGTATAAATATCAGTGTGTATCCCACTCTGTGTTTAAGGTTTTTAACAAGGAATTATTAATTAATTTTTTATGTAGGTATTACAAGGTGGAACTACAATATTCAATTCAGTTTTATGAATTAAGAATTAATCCTATTTATGTCTGTAGTGTCTATTCTTTAAGTTAATCTTTACGTTTCCAATGTCGAAACTGGTCAAAACACTGGGGAAAATGTCTGGACAAACCCGCAATGGGTTTATAGTCACTTTTATTGTAAATTTTTATATTGTTCCTTGTTTATACGTATAAATAAAAAAAATAATGTAATCAAAATTGTAAACAAGTTGGCTTTTGTAAGGAGTGGAACCCACGGGAAAAAAATCTCCTCTCAGATCGTAGGGTTCAGGAGTATGATTTGGATTGAAGCATGATTTAAATTAAATTTCTAATGCAATTAAACTTTTTTATTCAATCATTTTCATTTTTTTCCAAGGCAACCACCGGATCTTCGTCGCTAGTATTCAAAAGTACTGGTGTATATGTTTGAGTGGTTTTTCCAAATACTTGAGCATCTTCAATTGTTTCGGGCAATTTTTTATTTAACGTTTCAGGCAATAACAAGGTGCTGATAACTCCGATAACTGAAACACCTGTTAATATTACTGACGACAGCTGCGAATTAACACGATGTCCCTGAAACCAACAATGTCACGTATTGTCTATTTGCAAAGATTATAACGAAATGTTTATAAATACCTCTGTTATCATCGCTAAACTTCTATAATTTATAATGCTTTTGTAATTAAACTTGTAGATCATACATTAAATGAATCAAATGTTGATTACGGCAAAAGGCGTTTAGGTAAAGTTTTATTGAAATAACGAGACCAAGATGTGATGACTTTACTTTTCATACTTACCAAATAGAATATGTAAGGAGCCAAAGCAGAACCTCCACTGGAAAATAAATTCCCTAAACACATTCCCGATTGTCGGATGCATGTTGGATAAAGTTCAAAATTAAGTATGTTTATTATATAATAACCCATTGTTGCTGACAACCTGGTAACAATCACGATACCACTGCCTATTAATGGGTGCCGAAAAATTGCATTTGAACCTAAAACAAAAAAAAATAAAATAAAAAACATTAAGAAATCCTATTACATAGTAAAATAATTATTTTATACTAACTGCTTTCCCTCAAAGCAAGGATGATCCACATGCAAGCACCGATAGCGAAAGACAAGACGCCCGTATTCCGACGACCAATCCGGTCGGCTAGCCAGGCAGCTATGAAATATCCCGGTACTTCGGCTAATGCCTGCCATAGGAATTCCAAGAAAGGATTCCCATCTGACTTGTCTCCCGAACTCATCATTATAACGGTATAGTTCACACTAATGCAAACCCTGTGGATTTCATTTGGTGAGCAAATGTAGTTAGTTTTCTTCATAAATTGTAAACGAAGCTACATATATGCCAGTTAAATAAAAATACCTAAGTATTTACGTCCAGTATACCATTACCAGAATAAAGGGCGTGTGACGTATGTATCACTCCAACCTCTTACATAATAAGGAAGGTAACTGGAGAGAAGTCGCCAAAGGATGATATGGGAACACCTACTCTTATAATTTTAATATTTGTGTTTTTACGAAATAAATTCTTGTGAAAATATTTTGCAGCTTTTACTAGTTTTCCATATGATTAACAAACGTACCAAAACACCAATTGTAGTGTAGTATTTTTAGCCAACGTCCACCCTGAAAACAACGCGATATATCCCAAGGTTTCGTTATTTTGCACAGGTTTGACATTTAATATTGAATTCTCTGTTTCCACCGATAGATCTCTTTTATTCTCTTTTGCTATTTGCTTCAAGTATTTAACACATTTTTTCGAATGCCCCTGAATCCATAACCATCGGGGTGACTCAACCATCTTCCTAAAAATTCATTAAAAAAATTACACATTTAAAAATATTAAAAGATATTTAGAATAAGAAGTAGATACTATACCAAGAAAATATAAGAAAGGGAATCTGTAGAATAATGGTGGCAATGAAAAATGTCTGCCAATGTCTTAACCACCAAAACAATACTGCCATTAGTGCCATGCCAACACTCCAACCGGCGAAACGTAACGTCGCGGTGGTGGAGCGACGTTCCGCAGAGGATAACTCCATGGATATAACAGTGACGCTTTGGATAGCAGACCATGATGGGAACGCGGCGATCACAGATCCGATCACAAAGAATATGAAAGATGATCCCGCAAACAAGGAGATAACACGACCCAATACAAGCAACGCAAGGGATGTTATATATGCAGGACGCCGACCATATCTGAAAGAATTTCTGCGTTACTTATGATTAATACCTTTTTAATTTATTTTTATATTACTTAATTTATATTTTAAAAAATACATTCTTTAAAATATTTTACTGCTGTGAGGTAGTGTCGTCAGTCATCGCTGTCGGTCCTAATGCGGACAACACAACCACACCGACACTTTTTATTTGCGTTTACGCAGCGTTAATAGTATAGTACAACCCGTTAACAAATTTAAACTAACGCGTCTCCAAACCATCCGAAAACCATAGATCCAACAAGTTCTCCAATTTTGCTCGCAGCAAAAATATTCGCAACATATAACTCTTTGTCGCACACCCAATTGTTTTTTGTTGGAACTGTTTCTTCGTACCAAGTTTTATCATATTCATATTTATCGCATGCTGAAAAAAAGTGGTATGTATATATATTCATAATTATATTGTACGGAAGACTACGCATGAGCCATATACATCTTTGATAGTGAAAGTAATTTACCTTGAAATCAAAATTAAACAAGCAACGATTAATTTCAAATAGTAAACAGTACTAACTGTAACAAAGATAATCAAATAAACTCTGTTATCAAAAAGAATAAGATGAATAATTTAAATAGCCTTTTCGGCAGTGGAAACTTACTTTAGATGTATGTATATAGAGATATTTATTATAAAAAAAAACCTTTAATAAATTAGCTACCTTTAGTATCGTTACTAGATGATCCATTGATGTACATTAAACAACTATCGAACTTCACTTCGCCAGCGGCATTGGTATACCTTTTTAAAGGAAACTGGAATTAAAATTCGCAATAAACTATCTTACTAATACATATTATAAATGCTAAAGTTTAGATGGGTGGATGGATGGATAGATGGATGTTGTCCGAGACGGCTCAACGAATTTTGATGGAATTTGGCATAGATGTACAACATTGTCTGGAAGAAGACACAGGCTATTTTTTCCTCCAGCCAATGTTTTAAGGTTTTTTGTATTTCTGCGCTGAGGAAATAGCTAGCAACAGCAATAATAGTATATATCTTAAAGTATTGTAACTAATAAGAATTCACTTACTGCGGGATATTTATTTCTTTCCAATAAAGTTCACTAATACTATCGGGTTTGCCTGAAACTTGACACATATGGGGAACCACCACTAACGCTAATATTAAATTCATGTATGCCATTGGCCATAATACCGCAAAAATTACGTTATAAATAATATCAAACTTTTTTTGAAATCTACCATCTTGACCTATTTCTATAAGCGCCTGGTCAAAAACGGAATCCATTTTTAACTATTTTGTTCCGTTAAGGTAGCAAAAAATATAATGAAACATAAATTGAGGTTGTTATTATAATGCTTAATGAACTACTGAGACGTATAATTATTAGAAGAATTCACAATGAAATGTTTTATTGTGTGCTCTTTCATATTATTTAAACAAAAATTATCTTCGCATTTACACAAACGGTAAGATTTTATCTTTGTATTCAAACACATTGTTTGAACAGAAAAATTATCACTTAATGGTACATTACATGATTTCTTAATAGTCAGACGTTATATTTGCATCTCGGTATCGTTATGAAATGCAAGTCTATGTAGTTTATTATGAACTAAAAATCCAAATTAAGTTCTTAGTTTATAACACCTAAGGATAAAAAAACAAAAATGTGTCTTTTGTAGTAATTCAAACAAAACACTGTCAACTACAAATAAGGAAAATGTTTTGTATATTTTCCAGAACGCTATCCTTAAAGTTATTTGAATTGTAAGTCATTGTTTGTATAGTCTTTTGATTTACAAATTCAAGCCCTCGAGAATAACGGCTAGCAGCTTGGAGCAAAATCACTTTATTTAAGTTAATACCATCCGTTTTCAAATTATGGGTGTAAGAAATTTAACCACTAAGCTTTTTCTGGGTTCTGTTCTTCATTCATACTTTTAATTTTAATATAGCCGAACCAGCGTATTATACATCTTACAATTATAGTTACAGACCCTTAGTGGAGATTTTTTTATACTAAATTAAAATTAAGCGACTATCTTCCTAATCATTTTATTAAACGATTCTGAGACTGAGTCAAAAAAATAACGACTGGCCTTTTCAGCTACTAGTTGATTGTGGTGCGTGTGCTGTAAATTTTAAATACCCAAATACCCGAATTGATACTGCTGCGCATTTTTCCTATGAGATCTGCTTAGAATGTGAAAATTGTAATTAGTGTTATAATTAAACGTTATTTAAATTACATTATCTAGTTTTTAAAAGTGATCAAAATCATTATTATATTTCAAACAGATCACCATTACCATTATCACAGCATTTTTGGGAAATTGTATTTTATTCAGAAGTTTGGTGTAAGTTATATTTAATCTGTTTTTCAGTTTTGTTTTGTTATCTGTGGTTGGACGGCTTGCTTGCCGCCTGCGCGATTTTTTGGGAAATTCGCGCGTCAGTTATTTTTTGGTCATATTTCATGTACACATCTTTAGTTGATCACAATGGGTGCATATTTATCTGAACCAGTTACTGAAAAAATGTCCAGCGATGAATCGAACGCCAAACTAGAGTGCGGTGCAAGCTCCATGCAAGGATGGCGTGTCAACCAAGAGGTGCGATTTGTTTGATAATTATATGGTTAAAATTTTTCGGATCACTTAATCACCAGATACTTTCGTACAAAAAACGCAATGTTCCATATACTTAATATGATTTAAAGAAATAGAAGCGCTGTATGACGATGTATTTTCCATTTCACACACTTAAGTATTTTGCCCATAGATGTATAGTGTGACACCCACGGAGAAACATTGCAGCAAAGTATTTAATGTGATAATTCGGTATAAAATATTATTACAGCTATTATTCATAATTTTCTAGGATGCACACAATACAATCTTAGATTATGATGCTGATACATCTTTCTTTGCTGTATACGACGGTCACGGCGGCGCGGAAGTGGCTACATATTGTTCACAAAATTTGCCAGAATATATTAAAAAGACAGATGCATATAAAAACGGGGACCTAGTTAATGCTTTAACAGATGCCTTTTTGGGATTTGATGCAACTATTGTAACAAAAGAGGTTATGGATATTTTGAAGGAACTTGCAGGTAAATAAGTTTATTTTTGAGGTCTATATAATTATAGCTACAGCCACTGAAGTAAAACATTTTGGACAGTAATACTATGTAAACTATGTATTATTTGAGACTATGTTCTATACCTGTACCAAATTTCAATAAGAAATGTGGAATCATTTCAGAGTTATCTAGTAAATATATTAATCAAACATATCCCACAGGAACAATTTACACATTTACTATCCAGTAACAAACATCCATCCAAATAAACATTTACATTTATAAGTAAGAAATAAGAATTTAATAGCTTATGTTTGTTTTGTTAGGTGAAATAAATCCTCCGGGCACAAGTGACATTGAAGAATCAGAGGATGAAAATGTTAGTAATTTATATCAAGAGGCACACCTACCTTTACAGGTGAATTATTAAGCTCCCATTATTGAAGAATAAATTAGAATATTGACCACAGAGCTGAATTATAATTTTCTCAGTTTGGTTTGTAGTCAATGTTGACATGATCATAACTTTGTTGTAGATAAAGCATTTCAATGATTCAAATTATTAGACTAGGAGAATGAGGACTATAATGGGCTAAATTGTCCAAATACCTCATAAAGTTAATATTTTAAAGCTTCTTAATCAGTTCCAGGAAAGAATATAGTAGGATAGTATGAAATATTAGTAATTTTATTTTGTTACTAGTTATGATTTTAGTTAGTATGCAAATAGAAAAATCAATACTTTAATTTAATTAGATTTATGTCAAAATTATGCAAAATTGTTTTATGTAATTTTTCTCACAAAGTTACCTTGTGATTGCTAAAATTGCATTTATTATTTCACTTCAAGGCTAATGGCAAGGATAAAATTTAACTATTACATACATTATAACTATTCTTATATACTAAAATATAATTCTAAAGTCTAATTATGTTATAAGAAATCTACACTTTTACAGTTTTACTTTTACAGTTGCTTCTGTTATATCTTTAAACTTCAATATATTTATTTTAATGCAGGAAGTGCTGGCTAAATACGAGAATAAATTGACTGCACTACACCGAGCTAGACTTGGTGACACAAATACTCCTTTGTCACCATGCTTGAGAGCTAAAAAGAATACAGAAGAATCTGGAGCATCAGGTAACCTGATAAATACATATTTTATTTGTATGACTGTAAAAAATAAGGTTTAAGATTTTGGTTGTCTATAGTATACTGCTTAATACTAACAATATTTTTGTTCCAACCTGTAAAACTTGTGATACATAAACATGTCTACAGATAAAGAAGCTATAGATTTGTAGATTTTTAGACATATATTTTCCCTCAGCAGCATCAAGTTCAAGCTCAGGGCATGCAGCAGGTTCAAGCTTAGAACAAACATGTGATGCACCATCCTCTAGCAAAAATGGTGTCACTGACGATGTAAAGGAGAACGCCGAGGAGGACTCTGGAGGAGTTTCGTCAACAAATTCGAACGAAGTTGACAAAGATTTGAATGGAGAGGTAAAGCTACATACATTTCATAAATATCTAAATCTACAGTATTTAAATATTACAAATAAAAACATTTTATGTGTTGCTCAAATTTAATATTACATTCTAGGTTTCGACCAGTGAACCGGAGAAAGTGGTCAAGGAAAATGTTAACAAACCAATTTTACCAGCACCGGACAGCTCTGAAGATAATTGCCAACCAGAACAAAGTGAGAATGTAAAGAGCTCTACAAATGGTTGCAATGTTGTCACCACCGAAAATTGTAATGGAGAGGTGACGGGCTCAAAACAAATAGATGGCGAGGACAGTAATATCACTTCGTCTAATGGCTCAGTAACACCTGTCAAAACTGGCAAAGCCAATGGTAAAGTAGTTTTCTTTTTCATTTTTTTAAAGTATCTAAAATTTATTCACAGACAAGTTTTGGACCTGTGGTGTATATCCATAACCAAAAGATGTTTTTTAAATTTTGTTTAAACATATAAAAAAAATGTGTTATAATTTTTTTTAAATCAACTACTTTTATGTGTAGATAAAACATCGCCTGTGTCAAGTTCGGGCAAAGAAGTTCCTGAGAGGCCAAAAAAATCGAAGTTACGCAGAGCGGCCGCGGCTGTATACGAGTCTATCTTACGTCAAGTGCCTGAAGAAGATGACGATGAGAGCGACTCCAACGACGAAACCTTTGAGGGTGGAGAGATCTGTTCATCTGATGATGACAATGTTAATGGTGTTGAAGAATCATCTGAGGGTAAATATCACATAGAGTTGAAACTAAAGTGTAAAACAGCCATGTCTAAACTAATATGTAAACCTACAAAAACTTTTCAGTAAGATTATAAAATATTAAAATTATTTCAAAGTTTCTTTTAAATTTCTGTCGCATTTTTAATAGTCGTTTCATTAATAGTTATAATACATAAAAATATTTAGCTTAAAAATCTTTACCTTTTAAAGAGTGTGAAGAAGAGGAAGATGAAGAAGATTACGAAGCAGAATCCAGTGATGAGGAAGGTGATGAAGATATAAACATGGCTGAGGAACCAGGCAACGATAGCGGTTGCACAGCTATTGTTGCTCTACTTAGAGGTACTTTTTCCCTTAAATATGATTTCTGATAATGTCTAAACATGTACATCAGAAGACTAATCGTATTTTGTTTGTCCTTAGGAAACGAACTGTATGTAGCTAATGCAGGTGATTCCCGTTGCATAATATGCAGAGAAGGGAAAGCTATAGACATGTCTATAGACCACAAACCGGAAGATGCGCCGGAACTCGACAGAATCATAAAGGCCGGTGGAAAAGTTTCCTATGACGGACGTATAAACGGGGGACTAAACTTATCACGTGCCATTGGCGATCACTCTTACAAACAGAACAAAGAATTGGATGCTAAAGAACAGATGGTGACTGCTCTACCGGACGTCAAAACTCTCACAGTAGACCCCGCAAAGGACCAGTTTATGGTACTGGCATGCGACGGTATATGGAACTTTATGTCCAGTCAAGATGTGTGCGACTTCATTACACCCAGGCTTGCAGAGGGCCGCGAAAGATTATCACAGATCTGTGAAGAGGTAACGTTAACTTTCACTGCTTCCCATTTGCTACCATAGCTGTAACATTTCTTCATAAAATTGTTTATTTTATTTTCCAGATGTTCGACCACTGCCTAGCTCCGACAACAATGGGTGACGGCACCGGATGTGACAACATGACGGCAATTATAGTGAGGTTCAAAGACGGTCTGATTGCGGACGTGGGCCAACACTCCAGCACCACGGAGTGCCCGAAGAAGCGCACGGCGGACTGCGAGCCGTGCAACGAAAATCAACAGGACAATAAAAGGCAAAAACTTGACGATTCACTGTCAAGTTCGGTGGTGACATCCAGTGTTTAGACTTAGTTTGACTAGGGAAACAGTGTTTACGACTTACACATATGTGTCAATAAGACTTTATGGATAACATTGTCATCTCTAATGCAGGCCATTGATTACTCTTCACTTTAATTTGATTCTTCTCAAAAGACATGTGACATTTATCATGAGATTTTATGTAAACTGAGAATTTCCCCTAGCATTATCATACAACTACTAATTGTATAGTAATGCTATAGAATGTTATTGTAAAAGTCAAAAAAAAACATAAAAATTGAATGACAATACCAAAGTTCATGAAATGAAAAGCTTAATTATTTATTTTTGTTTTTTCCAATCTAATACAAAATTCAGTAAAATTTTAGCTTTAAATGACAATCTCCTGATCTTCATACATCATGAATGTTATTCCTACGTAACATGCTACAAATAATATTTAAAAGCAATTTTTATACATATATGTAACTTATAAATTATATTTAAGAAAGGAATAAACCAATTTGCCAAAATATACAATTTTTTATTCCTTTTTGATCATTCAGAAATAGTCATATTTTGAATCATTCAATCATCTTAATCTAATGTTTTTTTGATAGAATTACAGAGTGTGTATTCAGACAAATAAATTAGTATATAAAAAACTGTCGTATTCGTCGCGCTAAGCAATATGAATATAGTTTTGTTTATGAAAAAATTGCACGTATTAGGCGTTTAATTATAGGTTTGTTTACATAAAATCTCAAAGAAAAATGGAGACTATATAAGTATGTTAATTCATTTATTTCTATCTTAATAATTATGACATGTATCCTTAATTCTTATCTCTATATTGGGATATGAAACTAATAGAATAGAGTGCTAACTTACGGACTCTGGGATTTAGCAAACAATCTTAAAACAAGGCCCATGATTAATTAGTGGATAAATGATTTTTAGTGCCAGTGGAAAATCGAATTGATCCAATTCTCAGTTTAAAAGGTGACAAAGTCCTTGTGATTTAAAGATAATTTGCCTAAAGTAGCCTTATTTGTAATAAGAAGGTGATGAGATGTTTCAAGTTTATAAATTAAGTATAAAATATACATGCAGAACATTGGGAAGTATAGAATTTTCGAACTGACTTGTCTGCGTTAGTATTTAGTTATAAGTTGTAAATGTAAATTTACGAAATCATTATTAAATACCACCTAATTTTTAGTACATATTTAGAAACAATTCTTACAGAGTTTTGTTTAGTGTTTTGTCCAAAAGTGGCATTGATCTTTATATTTTAGTCACAATAATTAGTGTCTGACAGATAAAAAACACGAGAATCACTTTAAATATTATACAAAAACGATAATATCAATATTTAAATTGTAAGTGCTACGTATTTTCCTTTTCAGTTGACATAAAAGAAAAACATCTATTTGGTGATATTATGTCAGTGTTCCTACAATATTCAAAAGTGGTTTCGTAAATAAAACGCTATATTCAATTATTTATCTGTTACTGTGTAGAATAAGTACGTAGTTATATTTTTGTAATCACAGGTTTGTAAAATTGTATTTCTCCAATTTTTAGTCAACTTCTGGTAAAAAGTAAGGAAATCATGGTTACACTTAAATGCTTATGTTATGTTCTTAAAAATAGTCCAATCTAAGTTTGGTTGTCTGCAAAACTGATTTTATTATAGAACTGTCTTTATTTGGTGTGTTTAAATGAAAATTACATTTTTACTGACTAATATAGTTTTCTTTAAGTGGATATATCATATCATAGAAAAATATACTACCTCAGTATATTTAATTTAGGCTTATTGGTAAAACAACTTTCAGTGCATACAATTTTTAATCTAACAGTGGTAAGTTTTAGAAATGTCGATGATAATCACCATACCCAGGAGCTATCGAAGTGCTGTCAAATATTCTATGGTTTCCATTTGACTTGCTTCTAATATTTGTAAAGAATCATATTCTGCATCCAGCTGTTCTAATAGCATGGACCTTTCACTTATCTCACTCTGGAATATAATATAGTTATTTACAATCAGATCTCACATTTAAGTTTAAGGATGACATAGGTAAAGAGGTACCCATATCGTCATCCCTCTCATTATTTTTGACAAAACAGAGATAGCGATATGTTTAGGCAAGTATGTTAGTGTTAGAATCCAACGATTAGACATAACACAGGCTTCTAGTATGTAGTCGAACAATTGCCTACCTGTAATTTAGCTTGATCGTTTTCTCTTTGCTTTGTTATGGACTTCAAGAGATTCATACTTCCTATTGCTGCCATTTTCTGTTTCTCGACGTTCTCTCCCAACTCTTTAAGCGTTTCCAACAATGTATTTATTATTTTTCCAAAATCCTTCACCTCTGAAATAAAGCAAGAACATGCACGCTCCATAGGAAATCAAAGCTAGAATATAAAGTAGTAAATGCTAACTGGTTTCATATTCTTTACATGTATCCCGCAGATCTTCAGTATCCTTAAGAACATCTTGCTCTAATATCCTTATCTTATTGATGTCGTCATAATATAAATGTGCTTTTTGCAACTCATCTGCCATTACAAAACTTTAATAAATTGGCTTTTGGTTTCTTTTGCTTTTACTTTACTGTTGCTTAGCAACGTGTCCACAAGCCCCCACCCTACATCTGGATCCGACAATGCCCTTATTTTGTAATTCCTTCGCAACGTTTTAAGCCAAGTCTCTCTGAATCGGGACATTAAGGGCATTAAATAAGTTTGGATCTATTTTATAAATCTTCCGCAATTTATTAACTTATTGAGTGTTGCTTATAATAAAAATAAAACCATAGCGTTCATGCCCATAAACAATTATATCCAATTACTTGTCAATGTCAAACGAATCATAAACTTGAAAACACTAAGTTTTTATTGCGGTTGCACCTACAAAATCTTACTACTTGAATATCTTAAAATTAGCTATTGATCTGTGTGTAATATCAATCACTTTTAGGTGACAATGGTTAAAAGAAAATGTGTTTACCAATGAATCTTAATTGTTGGAATTTGACCGGGTTATTTATCAAAATATAAAATGAATGCAGACAACATCGAAATGTACAAACATAAGTGACGTTATTGTTTTATTATAATATTGTTTTCGTTATTGTATAGCTGCTCCTTTGTCTCAGTGTAAAGTGATTGATATTTGCTTGGAATGGAGGTAGACAATTAATGGAAAATCATGGAAGGATTAACACAAAATGAAAAAATCATTTGGTCATGTTGGGAAGAAAAGTCACCGAGAGATGTGGTCAGAGAAGCGGCTGCGAAAGGCACTCATATTGATTTAGCTATTCAATATTTAATGCAAAAGAACTCTTGGACTGAATCTTCCTCAAGGGAATGGTTTTCGGCTGAGGTACTTATTGTTTATTATTCAAAATGGAATAAATACACCTAAATGATGTGATTAATAAAATTTTCTTATGTTTGTAACAGGTTAAGGCATGGACTGTCCAGCTTCTTCTGCGAAAGCAAATCTTTAAGGTGCTCCATGTCTTAAATAAAGTGAATATTAACCCTGAAGAACATCTAATGACACTTGCAGCAACCTCTTCTAATATTGAATATAGAGACTTTATTGTTGAGCAATTGGAAAAACTATCAAAAGATATAAAAAGTGAAAATTTGGATAAATGGTTAAATTTCAAAAGGCATTGGAACTTATTGAGATATTTAGAAAAATCTTTTGAGGTTGATGGAACATTTAAACAAAATAAAGTATTTGGCGAAGGAAATGATAGGGTATTTGTAAATGAAAGTGAGATCAAAGCACTAACAATTGAAGAAATTGAAAAATATCCATCACATTGGAAAAGTAAAATAGCTACTACATTGTTCTTTAACACATTTGGTAAGTAGATTTAATTTCTTATTTTAAATTATAGTTACAGGAACATTATCTTTTGTATTTTACAAAGTATTTTATTGTGTAAAAGGACAAAATATAATCTTGTAACATTTTTCAGAATACTCACTACTGGACTTTTCATCCCCTCAACAAATGTGGATGCATCTTTTGGAACGGAACAAGGCAATGGTATTAGTTCGTTGGATAAATGTTCAAACATCAGAAGTTGTTAGAGATATGAATGCAAGATATAATTTTTTTATAAATGAAAATTTTGTTAACAAACTTTTGAATGTAGATACAAAAGGATTTAGTAGTGAAGTGCTTACTAATTTAGATAAAATTTTTCGATCTTGGCCAATCACAAATGAAATGATTCAAAGTGTTGCAGCGAGTAATTGTTTTGTGTACACTAAATTGTGTATTTATGACACTCTGTGCTCCTATGGCATAGTAAATGATGAGGAACGAAAGAATTTGTATGTAATAATTTCCAGACTGGCACGAACACAGAATTTGAAACAAATCGATGATATTTTCACTGAGTCTTGTGCTACGATAACCAAACAGGAATTTTATGTTGAGTTGGCAAAATATTGTGTGAAGAATAAATTATATAATGTATTAACAATGTGTGTTGAGGGACATATACTAGATACTGATTTATCTGAAGTTGAACAAGAAGCAAAAGACTGCATTGAGTTGTGGTTATTATTTAAGAGCATTGAACAGACATCGGACAGGCAGAGTCATGTAGTGCCGGTTTATAAAACTTGTCAGCAAATAGCTAAAGATAATATTGACGACTACATATCAACAAATCCTCATTTAGTTCTTGGCATGATTCTACTTGAGGATGACGCAAATCTATTTGATATATTTTCGAAGCTCGACAATCTACAATTCAAGGATTTTAAGTTACCCAACAAAGGGTACAAGCACAAACTTCCTCATTTATATAATGTTTATAAGAAATTTGCTGGTGGTTATCAAATGTATGATTCAAAAGATGTGAATGTGTATCAACTACTCTCAGGATATCGTGGTTTAGATGTATCGAAAATATTTGAATTTCAATTGATTAATCAGAATACGAAGAGTATACTTGCTGAAAAATCTGATAGGCGCAGTTTGGGTAGCCTTTTGTCTAGCGATGTGGACGTAAGAGGTGGAATTAAGTTATCCCAGAGATCAATTGATATGCCAGATTTTGAAAATGAGAAACTGATTAAGCGATATGGATACGTTGCGAAATTAAATCACGTGTACTATTTAAAACAATACCGACCTTGTAATGCTAGTCAGGCATTTGTAGCTCAACAATATCAGACATACAATAGGCTGCAAGAGAAAAGTATAAAGAGTGCTTGCTGTGAAGCTCATGCCTTAGCTCTGCAGAATTGGTCGGACCCAGCAATGGCAGCCTGTGCAGTCTCCTTTGTAGCAATGATCGGCTGCAATCCATCCAGATGTAGAGTCCATATGTCGGCAGCGAAAATGATAAAGGAACATTTGATGGTCAATAAAAATTTCTCGGAAGAGAAAGCGAATAAAGTTGTCAATGAATACATGTCTAAACTCATGCAAAGTAATGATCAAGCCGCTAAAGAAATTTTGCTTTATTTAGAAGAAATAACCATTAACAAAATAAAACAGATGCAAACGGAAGATAAGTTTGATATGACTCTCGTTTTGTATGAATCTCAAACGATGGTGAAGTTTGCAATACTCCATAATTTGCAGTTACCAGAACTTCAGCTCAAGGAGTTTGTTAGGAACAACTCGTGGTTTAATTTCTTGCTGTTCGGTGACGTATTCAGATATCCTCTGTCACAAATGCTCCAACTGTCTCAAGACTTTGAGAAGCAATCATATGCAGAGCACTTGAAGTACATAATGTTACACAAAACTACAGAAGAGGACAAAGATTTCAAGTCTGTTTCAAGTAATGGACAGAGGAGATACTCCAGGCTCAATTCTATGGAAGTGGTAAGTTCTTTTTTTAACTTTCGTATATATCTGGTTAGATAAAAGCTATGTTTCAGTTTGTAGGTAGCTTGAAAGATGCGCTCTTTTCTAGAGTCCTACTCAAAGCGTGTCATTTGAGTTTCCATCGAGTTGGTACATGGGGCGTGAGCTGTGGGAGGTGGCGGCGGCTTGCCACGGCCCTGAGGACCCGCCCGCCGCGCTGCTCCGGGCCGCTGACATCTGCAGGGAACCCTTGCTGGTCCTCATTGCCAGCTGTTATGAAGTAAGTTTTATATACTTATTGTAAGTTATAGATATTTTCAAATATCTTGACGGCTCAAGGTCATCGGCGCTGTGTTCTGCGCGGCATCGTGCGCGAAGTTAATTTCCGCCAAGATATTTTAAAATTAGAATACTATATTTCTTACATTTGAACAATGTTGTATTAACAGCCAAACGCCGTGGATGTTCTGTGGGCGCAATGGGTCCTGGCCTCCATAGGTTTGTCAGAACGCAACCGCGAGGAGCTGCAGGCCAAGATCTCTCATCGGCCGCTCTCAGAACAGTTCCTCGTCGTGGCTGAAGTGTGTCTTGTTGAAGGTTACATTGCCACACTGCAAGAATCCATGCTCGTGTTTATGTCGGTAAGATGTAATTTTTTTTTTAATTTTCAGTACCACCAAAAACTGTCAGTTTGGTATTATTTTAGATTACTTATCAAATTTCATTTTCAAATGTGTAAATTAGAGAGTAGCTTTATATTGATTAAATCACAGACAAATTGCCTTAGCAGTACTAAAATTACTTTGTTACTTAATATTTTCAGGATAGTCCTCTTACATTGCTAACAACGTTCCTACATCGTTGCATTCGGCTGCGTACCTTCGACATGGAAAGTTCGAGAACCCTCGGGAACTTTCTGCAGCAGTGCCAACGCAAGTACAGCTCGGAGTCCGCCGGCATGCCGTGGCACATGTCCAAAGAGATGTTACAGAAAATTGCTGTAGAATTAGTTAAGATTGCACTGAGTTATAGCTTCGATAGTGCTTTCCATCAAAGGGAATTTCTCCGGTGCTTGTCTGATGCGCAGTTCGAGAAAGGATTGATGGGTAAGTTTAAATCAAGAACTGCCAGTAGACTAATTGTTAACTGTACGGATTTCTGGTCCCTTCGTAGAGAGTTCGAATCCTGCTATTCGACTTTTGTCGTAAACCATATCCTAGCCTACAATGGTTCAAGAAATTAAAAAAAATACAGTTTTGTAGAATACCACATCCTTGCTAGAGTAATTTTTAATAACGTGTTTTAATTTTCAGTGCCAACACCAAATTTTAAGACCCTCTTTGAAATAATACAAATATCAATGCAAACATCTTTGTTTGTGAATATACAAAAATTGCTGAGTGACGAATGTGAGAATTATCTCGCTGAATGTATAAAAATGTATACAGAAAAGAAAAATTACGACGTGGCTTTAAAGATTGCCAAATTAGCCGCGTTACCTGTGAACGAAATACTGCAAATAGAATGGGCACATAAATACGAAATGTTGCATATGAGAGAGACTGAAATTGAGGACAAAGATTTGACAATATTCATAGCGGAATGTAGCGAAGCGTTCAAAAAAGCATCAGTATCGTTCACCTCAGCGACCGAGTTCCTCATCCGACACGCCGCTTCTATAACCGATCCAATACAGAAGTTTTACTCATATAGAATAATAATGAGTTGGTTCGAAGAGAATCATGAATACGGCAGAAGAAGAGAGGAGATCGAACATTTAATGTGGCACGCGTACTTCAGCGTGGAGAACCAAGACAATGTATTCCTCAATAGTTACCAGTGCCTCTTGCATTTCGTACTAACGGGACAGAAAGATAAGACTTTGTCTCAAAGTATGGCTCAAATGATCACTGATAAACGATTCTCGGTAACTCTGCATCAAATAGAAGTAGAATCTGATGTGGGGAATATAGAAGACGTGGTGACACTAGAAGAGCCGGATACTATAGACTGTTGGAGGAGAGTCGTAAATCAATTGCTGGAGTTGAGGTTGCTTGTTGAAGCATTTCGTTTATCAGCTCTATACGAAACTCCACCGGAGTATCTGTACAGGGCTCCAGTCTGTCCTGTTCAGATCATAAGGACGTGTTTGCGACTGGCCGAGGGCGCTTGCTCACCGTACGAGCTGCCGCAAGAGCTTCGTTTAGACATATCGTCGCCGTTACAAAATAAACTTACAGGTAATTAAAACCAGATGAGTTAGTTTTAGCTATTGTACTTGATTTAACTATCTATAACACTTCAGTATCGGAGACGTCGGAGACAAGTTTCGAGGAGCTGGTGGTGATCCAGGAGCGACAGGAGGCGGGCGCGGTGCCGCAGCTGGCCGCGCGCGAGGACGCAGACCGCCTCGCCGCGCTTGATGCCCTCGCCGTGCGCAGCGGACTCTCCCTTGCTAAACAGGTACCCTGCATACCCTACTCTGCATATTCATCATGACAACATCATTAAGATTGCCATCATCATGTCACATAAGGATGAAAGAAAAAGTACAGTGTAATCCAAACTTTATGGTGGCTCGAAATTACTCACAAGTCGATTTGTACTGCATCATTTTAGATATTGGTGTTAGAATGCAGAGGATTTCCTTTACCCACTGTTGGCTCAACATTTAAGGTCTCCAACAATTTTGTTTTTTTTTATGTTTGAATTTACCTGAATCTTGTTTTTTAGATTGCGAGTTACTTTCGAATAGCATTACAAATCGGACGGGAGTATACATTCGTGTTGAAATATGAATGTAATCCTGTTGACTTCATCAACCTGGTGAGCGGCAGGGCGCGCATGTCGCTGGCTAATCTCGTCTTCCGGACATTTAATGTTCCTTCCAAACAGGTAACCATGTTGTTAAATTAACCCGTTAAAGTACACTGCAATATAGCAGAATAGCATGTGTTTACAAGTTCATTTCTAAACTTACTACGTTTTAACTTATATGTTACTACGCAAGTAGCGTACATAAATTCCTACTATTTTATTGATAAAAAGAATGTTATATATGATATACTAGCTGTCGCCCGCGACTCCGTCCGCGCGTAATAAAACACACACTGAATAAGTACCCTATATGTTCTACATCTATGCCAAATTTCAGCGAAATCCATAAATCTGTTCCGGAGACACCTTCAAAAATCCATCCATCCATCTAAACATTCTTATTTATAACATTAGTAAGATGTTTTAAATACAAACAGGTCGCTGAATATCTCTGTTTGGAAATGGTCGGTGCGATAATATCTCCGCATCTAGTGAAGACATCCACGTTCAGACAAAAGGAGCACTTCCAGTACACATTATGGGGCTTTGTGCTCAACTCTGATATTGAGATGTTTCTGAATATGAGACCGGATGCCTGCAGTCATATAGGAAGACTGATACTTGATCATTTGATAGCCTTTCAAAAGATATACAAAGCGACAACCACTTTTAAAATACCAGAAAATACTTTAGACGACAGTTGCTTGGATTTGGAAACTTTGATAGACGAAGAATATCAACATGTCGACAATGATGAAGTGGAATCTGTTTTGACGGAGGAAGGTACTTTATTGTCCGCTGAAACAGAGTCTGTGTACTCAGTGTCCACTGTGTACACAGTCGGTAACAAGATGACAAGAGACACGAGGAGGAATCTATTCGACGCAATATCAAGGAGTAATGTACATATCAGATACGAAGTCAAATCTAACATAAGGAAGATAACTAAAGGCGCCAAACTGTCGACTAAACAGGTATGTTGTGCTAACATGTTTTAAAGATAACAATGATTACTGCTTTTTGAAAAAAAATATCTTTTCCAGCTCCACTTACCTCGCAACTTTGGCAGTATTTTGGTAATAATGGTTTAGTTATGTTTATGATTTAATTAATCTCTTTTTCCACTTGGCAATCACATTTTTAGAAGAGTCGTGTGTCCCATTTCCTCTGGCACGACCGCGCCTGTTATGAAATGGCCGTGCGACTTGTAGCTTAGTGGAAAAATGTTTTAATATGAATATATGTAGGTGAACATAATCTGCATCGAGCTGCTGGTGCTGGGTCACGAGTGCTTCTCCGGCGCGTGCGACACGGAGGGCGTGGCGGTGACGCTGCGGTCTGCGCAGGCGCTGGCGGCGAGACTGCTGGCCGCGCGCTCCTGGCGCCTCATGGTGCGTCTGCTCACTGGACTGGCGCGATACACAGAGTGCGCCTACATCTTCCAGGTTACCTACGTTTTACATCGCACAATCTCCTTCCCCATACAGACTTTGTCTAATTTAGTCTTACATATTATGTTCGCCTAATATTCTTACTACAATATTTTTTGATTTTCAAATCAAAGTAATTTCAATAAAAAATGTCTAAAGATTTTTTTCTTAATTGTTTAACTTTAACTTTGGTTATACCAGGCTCTACGTGACAATCATCAATTCGAATACCTGCTCGGCCAGTTCGACTACATGCTGGGCCAGCAGGCGGACAGGATCGCCGCCTTCAAGCACGGCCTCCTCGACTTCCTGAAGACGCACTGCCCCGGCGACACCGACGCGTACATCATGGTCGCCCTGCACTTCAACATGTACGCTGAAGCTGCAGACGTCAAGAGGCGACAAGCTCTGAACCTGATCGATGACTTAGAGAAGATAGCAGATGAAGCGCGTCCGAAGAAATCACAACCCACCTGGGTTATGATACATGATAATGTTTCTACAAGGACGCTACTGGACACGGCTTTGAATCACTGCACGGACGCCGCAGAGCTGTACCTGCAAGGAGGTTGTACAGGATTCGCCGGGGAAATGGCGACTCTCGCGCAACAGATCGCCCTGCAGATGTCGCTACTGAACGCCTCTCCTACCAGACTCATACTGAACAGAACTCCCGAACAAATGTACCATCTAGTCAGTGACTATTTGAGGTTAGTGGATTTTAATACGTACTAGCGGTCGCCAGACTTCAGCGCTGAATTATAAAAAAATATAAATTACTCCTGCACTCATAAACTACCTTTTGGTAAAAGCCTTATCGAAATCGGTCCATCATGTTCACGACGTACGATTTTTTTAGATATTACACAGGCATTACGATTTTTAAACGAATTCAAAGCGTAGTTAACCAATCTGCACTGGATTAGAGTAGTTCTGAGCCTTTAGATGGGGACATATTAGGAATATTCAAATGTTCAGTATTTTAACTATTTAGTGAAGTGAAAAGTTTTACCAAGTAGACAATGATTGAATGTGTTGGTTTAGTTTGATGGAGGGGTTGGTGCTGCTGTGTGGGCGGGGCGGCGGGGCGTGGCGCGAGCTGGCGTACCGGCGCGCCCTCACCAACGACCAACCCTACCTGCGCGACATGGCCGCCTACAGGCCTGACGTCGCTCACGATTTTATTAACAGGTAAACGTACTCACATTCCCTATTCTCATTGCTTATGGTTACTAAAGCAGGCGGTAAATCTGAACTTCTTACATTAAAAGCACACTAAGGGCCTTTTTTACCACGACTTCAAGGGCTAAAAGGCGATTTACGTTGCTTTGTTTACGTGTCGTCGTAAACAAGGCTACGTAAATCTTCAAAACCCGGCCAGTTTGGTAGCTAATCGTGGGTTCCTGAGTTCAAAATCTCCGTTTAAAACTTATTGTTATCTCTGTGTTGTCAAAGATAATGTCAGGGTTGACGATATCTTTTATAAAGAGATTTTGAACTCCGAAACCCACGGTAAGCGACTAATACTTTACAATGTCATAGAGGTTCGTAATAAGCGCGCGGGGTCGTCGATATTTCTGTATCTCAAGATCATAGTGAGAAAAGCCGCTGTAATTTTCTAGATTATATACAGTTTTTATTTAATTTATAGATATAAAACGGAGAAGAAGAAAACGCCCGTGTCTCAAGCCGCCATGACGGAGCTTCGCAATCTCTTGAGATGATGAACTTTCAATATATCCCTAGACAACTAGATCTCATTATAATCATCATTTTTTTAATATTTTATATCCCAAAGCATTGTTATCGTAGTTATAAGTAATATTATAAAATTTACTCCTACGTAATATAGTGGGTAAGTCAAATAAGATTTTTAATAAGTGCTTAAATGTGTTATAACTTTGATATTAAACTTAAATGTTAATTTTGCTATATTTTTGCATGAAATATTCTGTTATATTGCGGTTATTTTAAAGTGAGTCGCTGTGATAATCATAATTGGACTGAGGACTATTTTTTATAACTTGTTACAATAAGTCAATTAATATTTACTTTTAATACTCCTTACACTCTGCGTTATTTACTCTTTGACTATATTACGATTTGACACTGACGTCTATGTTACCAGGTCATAAAATTAAAAAAAAATTGACACTGACGTTTATATACGGACAGGCTATAAACATAGTATTTTGTGCCCATTTGATTTTATTTTGCCGCAACGTGTTGAATGTAGGAAAAAGAATAAACAAATTTTCTTAAAATACAATTTTTAATATAAATTAACATAAACCCAACACAAGACATTGGCTATCGTCCATACTAAGAGATTATAAAGCCCTAATTTAGGGTACAAGAAGAACCTTAGTTCTTTTAATACTCGAATGCAATTTGTGTTTGCATAACGAAAACATTTTTTTTCTAGAAATTAAGTACCAGTTTCGTAGATAAATACTGGATACAAATTACATAGTTTTAAACTATACAATAAAATCTTTCTCATGATTTTAAAATTTAACAAAATATCAATAAATAATTATAAAAAGTAACCCTCAATCAAAATTTCTTAGGCGCTTTCACAAACTTATAAAAGAGCCTATAGCTAGAGTTTTTACAATATCACAGGTCTATTTTGACATCTTAACTAGTGATTTAGTCACATTTTTTTTATTACAAACATAGTTTTTTCGACCTTTTTGTATCAAACGGTTGGTTAGGTTTCGAACACCGAAATCTTTGTATAAAATATATCGTCATCCCCGTCTTTCATCTTACAAAACTTGTTTGTGTTATGTTTTATACCGGGATATTGATCTCAGAAACCCAAAGTAAAAAAATAAATTACCACTCATAGATGTCAAAACTAACCTAATATGTACTCTAGATATAGACTGAATAAATATAAATAACAAAAAATAATATAATAACCAAAAATAATCAAAAATACAAACAAGACAACGCAAACGAACACTACTGAGGGTAGGACGAAAATAACTTGGAATGTTTATTACCTAATTTAAGGTAAATGCTATTTAAGACTTCTTACAATTGAGAATATAAAGGTAAATAAAATAATAAATATTAAATAAAAAAATAAGTTAGCAATGTACCGGTAAAATGTCATTAAAAAGATAAAGTTAAAAATGGATAAAGAATTTGTAAATAGCTTCTTGTTCCCGAGATTTATGAGTAAATATACAAAATGAATCCGTGCGTCCAATACTGTAATGTAAAGAAAACTAAATTATTATGGAAATTGTTTTTTGACATCCATCATTTATTCGATATTTTGTGTGATTATTTTGAATTTTCTGTCTTTCTATGAGTTAAAAGTACATATATTACATTTTTAAATATATAAATATCCTAACTTTACATTATTAATTTTTCTATGAACATTTATAGTTAAAATGTAATAAATTGGACACACGGCAAATTACATTACTCTATAACACTATGTTTATTTATTATTATAATAAATATCTTGTATTTAGAACTGAAAATATGTATGTATCGTTATGTAATATTAATTTGTATTTCCTATATAATTGACTCCGGTAACGCGGTATTCTATTCTACACTAGTTATTGTACTTAACAGTATTCTACAATACATAATATTGCAAGATTATGTATAAAATATCAAGGTTAATACATAAATTGCTTTTTTTAATTGAGCAAAATAATTTATATTACCATGTGCACACAACAATGCGCTTCCATAATGAACTTCAAAAATGTACAGAACTGTTAATAGTTTTCGATAAGTCACGTGATTGTATTCGCTTCGGATCGAATGCATTTTGTCTAGCCCCCTGTATCTTCTGTCAATAAAAAAAATCTGTCGTTTTATACAAAATTGGATGAACCCCCCCCCCCAGTCTCTTTGAGAAAATATAGATAAAATATTAAATGGTTAGAGAGATTCCTTTTGTCTTTTGGCAAAATGATAAAAGCGCACTGTGTTCTTAGCACGAATATTTGCGACAATCGCCTTCGTTACGTCATCAAAATAAGGGTGAGTTTTATCATCAACCGATTCAAGTTTTGGTTAAAGTTAATTTTAACGATAACATTAACAATAACGTTACCATTTGCTAACGAGTATGAAATTGTTAGTATACTTTACTCCCGATAGGGGGTGCATACACAAACTTTAGTATTATATAATTTTGTCGATGGAATTGTCACAAATATTCGTGCTAGGTCCACTGGTGTGAACATATTGTGTTCTTTTCATTAGATGAAACGTTTTAATGAAAAGCATATCGAATAAATGAAATAGCTTCACATAAATTAAACTAAAAGGCCGTCATAGTTCCTCTGAAACCTTAACGTATTCGTCAACTTATCTAATATTTACACAGATTAAATACCACAGACTATATAAAGTTTAATCAAACATTCATAAACATTTCACTTATTTAACAGTTCTCATTATTTTCATTCCTAACTTCATCACAGTCTTTGTACATCACTTAGATATATGAATGTTGATTCCTATAGGAAGGTCGTCACTTATACAATTATTTACACTTCAACTAAATATCAGATTATTTACATAAGATTCATAAAATGTCAACCGATATAACTGTCATGAATCGGCTCAATTAGAATACAAAAATACTTAAGTTAAGACGGTTCAATTAATTCCAATATCTGTCGTAATAACGTAATAAAATGTCTGAGTAATTTCTAACCGCTGGCCTAAGTTCGCCTCATTTTATGAAAATATTCACAGCTGTACTTGTTTAAACAAGAACTATGTCCTATAGTATGTAGTTTTATCCTAAATGGTATGTATAGGCAAGGTTATACGACATGCGTGACTCTATACGAGTGCTTCTCCTCGAGCACAGTCTGCATAGTGCGGTGCACGTTCTCCGGCAGGTGGTCCAGCAGCATGCGCGGCATCACCTGCAGCTCCATGAAGTCCTCCGCGCACGCCCACCTCATCTCGTATGTCGGCTCCTGCGTGCGCACCTTTCTGCAAATCAATTTATTTCATGCAACATCTTCTGGATGTTATACTTTTACATAGAAGCCACCGAACTTTGGTTTCTCAGACCAGAATCTTTGTATAAAACATATCGTAATTCCTGTCATTATCTTTGACAAAATAGAGATAACAATATGTTTTAAACGGGGATTTTAGTGTCAGAATCCTACGGCGAATCGAACCCAAAGTAAGAAAACAAAATAATAAGTCGTCGCAATTCAAAATCATTTATTTAGTATGTAGATTTAACGTTAAAAAATCTACACTTAAAAATTAGACTCGCTTTTATATAAAAACGCTAAAATATACGTTTTTTACCTGGCTTCATCTGCTTCGTTCCTTTGATAAGACATGGAAAATTGCAATAATTATATGCAATGCAATCGTTTAATATTCAATACTAAATATCAATAAGAATGCATAAGTACTGGACATAAGTGTTGTTTTACTCTACAGTATTTACATATTTAAATTAATAAATAATTGTTCTTACTTTTCAATGCCCATGCGCTTTCGTCTCACGATGTGCAGGATGCGGCCGGCGGTGAACAGCCGCGCAGATGAGAACCTGCGCGCAAACACGTTCCGCGACACTAGCGCCGCCTCCTGGTCATACTAAATTATTTATACATCCTGATCGTACAGCGGCGGAAATTGGAACTACAGCCGTATTTACTAATTTGTCTGCCAATCAGAAGGCTATATTATCTATAGTGGCGACATCTGTTATTTTGTAGAAAGTTTGATTAATCTCTACGGTTCGGCCATGATGCATACCAAACTATTTTATGCCGCGTTTTGCTTCTTTTGTAATTATATGAGAAAGATAAATACGAAATCGGTAACTTAAGTTAAAATATTTAACTTGTTCACTTTATACACCTTAAATAAATAATCATAATTATCAATTGTAACTTAGTAAAATTTTAGTATTACTACAAACACCTTTGTAACATACAAAAATGATAAAAAATGTTATTTTGTGAATATGATATTTCATTAATCATCTGTAATTCAAATTTACATTTACAAGTTACATGCACAAATGATAATGGACAAAATAAATATCAAACGATACACCAATCTAAAATACTGGACATAGCTACGGAATAAAAAATTTACAAAAAAAAAATTATAGATCTGTTTTTATTGCAGAATTATTTTGTTTTACACGTTTGTAAAATTATTGGTCATCCTTTAGCAATATGGAACTAAAAGAATTCACAAATGAATAAAATTGTTAAATAAACATTATTTCACACTGTACAATTTAATATACTGTTGCAATTAATAACAAAAAATAGTTAAAAATGTTTAACTTAAATCTAATATTAAAACAACGCTACACCACCTACCTCCAACATATAAAGATATTTCGTGATAAAGAATTATTATTCTAAGATGTCTAAAATAAATTAAATATTCAGAGATTGAAAATATACTCATTTAACAAATCACGAAACATCTTTACAAAAAGCACCATACCAATGAAAAAGAAGCGATGACGAACACCAAGGCGACACACAGACGACGCACGGCACACAGCAAACGGCACACGACAGCTAGTACAAAATGGTGAACTGACAGCACTCACGGTGGAGACGCCCTGCGCCAGCAGCGCGTCGCTGTCGTCAGCCGCGTGCGCCTCCAGCTCCTCCGGCCTCCGCCATGTCGACTCCAGGTCACGCGCCGGTACACCGAACAGCGCGTACCCGAACCCATTCAGCATTATACGGTACTGCAAACATAGTTACGGTCCACATCACTTACACGATGCTGAAAACTTACAATTTTGTATTACACGATACTGGAAACTATATGTCACGTGACACTGAAAAGAAACTAGAAAACAATATTTCTAAAATAATTACATACGTAAAATACACAATAGGAAAATTCTAAAGTACTTTAGATTCAATAATATTACAAAAAGGACCAATTTAATTTATAATACTTAATATGAATCCAATTTGGATCATACGCTGCGCTATTACAAGAGTAGACGAAGAGGAGATTTTGGGATTTACTTAAGCAAAGTTCTTGCTATACATACCTTTGGCAGTTTGGTGGCGTGTATGGTCTGTATGACCTTGGTGCGCAGGTTCTCAATGCTGTGTACACTGAGCCGCATCACCAGGTCGTCGCCTACGCCTATAGTCAGCACGAAGCTCTCCGTGAATCGCGCCGCCTCCCGACTTATTAGCCCCGCTAGAAATACAATTGTTATAGTCTAACGGTCAGTTTACATTGACGTAGAACCCGTATAAGTATATTACAATCCAAAGGCCGGCAATTAATTACTTATGTCAATTAAACAAACTATGCAAAATGCAATTATCTAAAAGGGAAAGAGGAAATAAATCATAAATTTTTCTATCAATATTATATAAATAAATAACTAAAAATAGCTAAAATTAAAAACCGAAATGAATCGATATTTCGGTCAACGAGAACGCCTCAATAATGACAATTAGTATAAAAAGTTATGCAAGGCTTACCCGGTGTTGAGAATGCGAACACTTTGAGATGCGGATATCTGGGTCTTAGTTTTAACGCTACTAATACTGCTACTCCAGCTCCTAGACTATGACCTGGAGATAAAGAAACAACTTTATAATCAAGTAAATACTAGCGGTTGCCCGCGACTTTGTCAGAGCAGAATTAAAAAAAAAGTAGCCTATAATATACTCGCGTACATCGTCTACCTTCCCGTCCAAATCGATCCAGTCGTTCCGGATTACCCGGAACAAACGTACATACAGACAACAAATTTACCTGTAAGTACTAGATCGTAATGTGGGAACTGCTGGAAGGCTCGGTCGAGCACGGGCATGAGTCGCCTCAACATCTTTGCGGCGCCCATCGACATGCCCTTGTGAGCTGCTGTCTCTTCTGGCAAGCCTGTATTGAAGAAAAAAATATTTTTGATTAAAAACTGCTATTTTTTATAGTTCTTGGATAATTCACTTATTCACCTATTGCTACAAATTTCAAGTTAGACGTATACTAATCGTCTACATAAATTTGAAACGGTATCGAATTTTAATTAACTTAAGTAATTTAAGCATTTATCCTTTTTGCGAAGATATTTTTGTGAAACTTGGGTCAAACATTTTCTTACCATCAGCCTCAAACTTTTCGGAGCCGGCTGTAAAGTCTGTGAAGATGTCTCTCAGAGATATTGAGCCCCGCACCGCCACCACGATGCTCTCCCGCTCGTGGTCCGCTATCACGCAAAATGGAAGCTGAAATGTGCATTATCGTTGTATAAAACTAAATAATTTATTAATAAAATTCGACTCTATACTCTTGACACACTAAATAAACGAATCGAAGACCACACAGTTCAAAACCAATAAAACTTTTAAGGCTACAAGATCATAATACAATGTTTTAATATCAAATCTTTAGTCACAATCCAACTTACTTCAAAGACGCGATTGTTGAAAGAGGCAAAGATGATGTCGTCCGCAGAGAGCTTGGACATGTACTTGACGCCCGCGAAGTGGCACAAACAGCAGTTGTCGTCAGTTACTATTGAGTTCTTCGGCCTGCAACATACATTTTAAAACAGTCTTCATCAACCTTAAAACTTAAGTAGCATAGACTATCATATTATATAAAATCTACTTTCTTAATTTGGATTTTCTTTTATCTGTTTATAATAGATAAATGAAAGTTTCATAAATATCAAAGATTTTGAATCATCTAGCTACAAGTCTGTAATAAAATTTTTGGTTTTTGGCCGAAAGGTTAACAATGACGCACATACCGACAACAACAGCACGTCAAGTGCTTGGCAAGTTTGCAGAATCCGGTGAAGCAATGCCTATATAATACATAAGGCCAGCCGTACGCCGCGATAGATAGCCTTAGATAGTGCAGCGCATCTTCAAGATTCATCCAGGGTGGAGTTTCTGAGAATATTTTGTTTACATCTGTCGTGTATATAGGTTCCTCATCATTCAGCATTTGGATACGTCTCATTTCTCTAGTCTCACGTTTTTGTCGTACTCTTAAAAGTACACAACCCGCTACAACATCCGAAGGAACGAGGTCTGTCGACCTAAATAATGCGCTGAGTAGTGCTAAAACAAAACAAGGAAACTAATGACAAATTTTCGACAGTTATTTTGCGTTGTTTTGTTTTTTTGTTTGTGAACGCTAACCCAGTTAGTAAACGAACCATTGACCCGAAAACAAACTCGGAGTGTATATCAAAATATCTTCGATCTGTACGCGACGTGACTGGACTGGTCGAACTTGTTATGATCTTTGGTGTCAAGGACAAATGTTTTGTACGGGGGTATTATTATATTAATTATCTCACGACCCATAATTTGTTTCATACTTGTATATCTATAAGTATGTATTCGTTTAAAATATCAGGGTATGAAAATGTAAATTGCCTGCGTTGAGCAACAAAATACATTGCGTTAGTTATCCATACTACCTAATACTAAGTTAAATATAAGATTAATATACACCTGCAACTTGTTGAAAAGCTTCTTTCCCGTGTTCGTCTCTCTTCAGCCAACAGAACGCCCATCGGAACCTTCTAGACCATAACCCTGTCACCTTCTTGTGATGCCTGGCTTGGTTCGGTGTGTCCTGCATATCGTCGTAGTTCACTGACCCCAAAGGGTCGAATACCATAAATAGGCCGAATATTGTGAGAGCTAATTGCACCCAATTAAAAAGAACTATACCTAGAAGAAATAAAATAATATTGTATTTTTTTTAGTTATTTCTTTAGAAAGTAATTTTTATTACGTGATTTCTTGTCCATAAATTATAATTTTTTATAAATAATAACTAACTTTGTATTACGATACTTGAAAATTTGTCCGTGACCGAACACTCAATAACTTCGCAGAACATCCACATTGTGCCCATCGCATTTAATGCTATTTCTGGCAACACCAATAAAACCCTGCAAACAAAACATTCATATGACAATTGTTTAAATATTAATATTCATTCTCACGAATACTCAAAAAGCATAACTATTCTTTTTAAATATAAATTTATAACCTTTTTTATATCATAAGGTGGCAAACGAGCGAGCGGCCACCTGAAATCGCTGATATAGCGAAGTGACCGTTGCCCATAGACATACGCAATTGCATATGCGTTGCCTACATATAAACGACGGAGGAGAGGATGAACAGAAAGAAAATATTTTCCCTTTTCATGCATCCTCTCATCCGGAAAGTCCACTTCCACTTCCCATTCTTTCCTTATAAGAAAAAGGGTGGGAAGGGAAAGAGGAGTACATAGGGCCTCCGGGACGCACACTCATCAGACGAAACGCGAAAATGTTTCCACTTCACGCCTGTCTTCTGTGTGGTCGTAGTATTTAACCGGGCGAGCCGGACCAATTCGTGCGAAGATGTTAAAGCGGGCTCTGCCACTGTTAAAAAATTACGACGTCTATTTTTTTTTGTGCAATAGTTGTATTTTATTACAAAACTTACGCATGAGATAATATTTTAAGAAAGACTTGGGACTTACCTATCCAGATAGTTTATGTTTAAGATCCTTATTATGTCAAAGTTTAATTGGAAAGGATCCGAAACGGTTGGAGTTTGATAATTGAATACGTGCCTTTGTGAATACTTTAGGGATTAGTTTGTACTGTATAACTTCATTTAATATTCTCCCTATAGAGAATATAACTTCAATCATGCTGTATATGACATAACCAATACATAGATTGAGTTATTCTAATTAGTCTGATGATAATAACTGACTAGAATGACATTCTAATGAAAGAAAATTCTAAATAAAAACATTCTAAGACAAATTTAAAATATAATTATTAAAATTAAAAGAATAAGTAAAATTATAACTATTAAATTAATAGTTTGAATATTACAATCATTTAAATATTATCCAGTTTAAAATCTGTTTTTTATATTAACAGTAAATTTACACTGTCTCATTTTTCTGTCACGCAAAACTACTTTTCTAGTAAAAAAGAAAAGTACAAATCGAGGTGTAAATACATATGAATACTAACTTTAATAATAATAAAGGTGCGACCATCTTCCTCGCGTCGACGTCCGTGATAGTGCCCTTGGCGGAGTGCAGCGCGAGTGCTGCGAGTAGGAGGAGGAGGGTCGCCTGTAGTGCCAGTGTGCCGCACAAGTATAGCCGTACAAACGCGCCCCCTAACCACCCCTCGCTTGAGCATTGCCATGTTATTGGTATCAACACCTCCACTACTAGAGCTATCAGCACCAACCTGTAAACAAAACATATATTGCGTCTTTTTAAATGACTTCGTCGTCGTCATCTATCGTGAATTCCGTCAGTATGTAATTTGACTAAGCAAACGACTAGGGAATTGAAAGTCCAGGCAACGTAATATGTTAGTTGTTGTTTGCTATTCAAAAAGAGAACGCTGCTATTATCTTCGGAACCTATCCTTAAGGGACTCCTTTTATATATTTTAGTTAATTATTCGTTTATGATATTTTATTTAATATCATAGATTTAAGACTCATTGTTGTTAGGTATTGTATTGGTTTTGGCACTATTATATTATTGAAAAAAAACCTATTTGATTAAATAATATATTGAACTCTTTGTTTCTTTAATTCAAATGCCAAAGAACAACTGATTATTATTATATTTCCATAATTATCTCAAGATTGTAACAAAAATCCTAATTAATTAAAACAAAAATCTGTTGTGAAGAATCTGAAGTGATTATAAAATGACAGTATGTAATTGAAAAATGAATCTGACCCCAATCGAGTAAGGAACGCAAATGTCCTCTTGCAAAAAGGTTAAGCGTTGTCCGCGAGCCGCCGCGCCGTGCTGGGAGCGAGCAGTAATAAAGTCAATCAAAAGAGACATCGCTACAATTTCAAATCCATTAGTGAGCTATCAGAGTGGACTTTTCAAGGTCAAAGTTGTTACCATGCTCGAAACGTTGATGAACGAAACAACGAATCGAAAATAAATTTTTGAAATGACATCCTCATCTATTATTTTTAATAACTTGTTTATCAACTATACTCTAACCAAAAATAATATACTCTTTATATCAATGTATTATAGTAAGCCAGCTATGTGTATTTCCCACGATCCAAATCTCGTTAATTTTTGTTTAATGAAGAACAATCATTTAATTATTAAAATTTAACAGCAAACTAAAATTGAAATTCACTATAAAAAAAACAATAGACCAATTATTTTACTTTGATCACATAAAAATTCTTTATAATTAAAATATTAGCAATTCCACACACGAGATAAATTAAGTTTGCTTATAATTATGAGTGGTTGTGAAAGTTTTGTGACGTAATCGATCTGCGCTAAAACTGCCGAACTGAGTTACTGTGACTTTCGACAGCCATCCTTGTCATTTTCATTGAAAGAACAGAGACAACACACGTCAATTTAATTTCACGGGAAAATAATGCTGTCGTGATACGATCGTTTACTAAACTGTTATTTGTTTTTAATTTTCTGCCGTTAAATGTACCGATTAGAAAAGTATTTTTTCCATAAAAAGTGGTGTCATTTTTTATTTTATTACTCGTTATAATTTATCAACGTATGAGAATCTTTGAATAGTTAATTGTGTTATTTGTAACGTTCCTTAAACAATTATCATTAGCATTGTATGTTAATTTACGTTTAAATTACCTTTTTATACATGTTTGGTTTTTTTTTAATACCACAGACTGAAAGGTTTCGCATATCATATAAAATACAACACATTAATAAGATTTTAGAATAAAATAAGATAATGATAAAACTAATATTCAATTAAAAATTAAATTTATATTTCAAGTAATTACTAGAAAACTAGAATATTTATTCTCAAATTTTAACGGGATATTTTTTTTTCTAATTATTATTCCATTAAATAAATATGTGTAAAGTTTCCAGAATGATATGTACTGTACTGTGGTTGCGAAGCAAATGGTAATAAACGTATATTCCGTCGTGAAACCACTTATCCAATATAAAGGCTGATTGTTAAATAAAGTGTACAAGCTCTAAAGGCCAAAAGAACATGTCATTCTTCAGTACAACGTGCTTCTCTGACATGAACTGTTTCGTTTGAATGAGATTTGTTAACCCGTTTTGGGGATAACTTTCGCACTAATTATATTAAGTAATAATACGGGAAACATTCTTTCACAACCACGTTGACATCCATAATAGCAATCACCAGAATCAAAGGGTTAAAATAGTTGTTAAACTAGACTTTGCGTTTTGTAGTTTTTGGAGTTATACGGTTATTGTCTTAATAAAGCACAATTTAAACTCGACACACAAAAATGGACGTTTTATTATACCTTACATTGGATTTCACTCAAGCGGCGGCCATTTTGCGTGTCATTCCTGTGACGCTACGACGCACACTTTCTCAAAATAAACGCGTATAATTTATAAATTGCATCTATTTATTTTAAAAACAATAAAATAATTACCTCTTATGGTTTCTTCTCGAATTCTCGGAAAATTGTCAAAACTTTGTTCTATTTATCATGTAAGCTAACAAATTAACGTGAGCGGATTCGCGGATAAGAGTTGTTATAAAATAGAAAACAGACTCCGTTTCTACCAAGAGAGTGGCATGCGACCGCATGTTTTTGCGTACACGAATACCTGTTGGCTTAGTGGAAAAGGGTCTTAAACATCGTGTCGTAGTCATTAGGCTCGCATGATTGCATTGCATTAACTCAGATTTCCGTTTAGTATCGCTAACGGCGCTGAGCTAGTTTTTGGTGTCGGTTGCTACACGTGCGTGTAACCAGACATATCAACTTATAGACGTAAAAAGTTACATCTCTAGATAGAGACATAACTCTTTACGTCGGATTCGTATATAAAGTGCATATCGTACCATACAAAGCGGAAGAGTAACTCGAAGATGCTCGGGAATACAAGATCGTCTGAGGCTGCCAGCCATTTGCGCCCGAGCAGCCGGAGCGCCGGCATCCTGTAAACGAAATTCGACATAAGTACACCAAATAAATTGTTATTTAATAGTTAGATAATAAAAAATCAGCAAAATCACAAGTAAGATTTTGTAGACCCACGATGAAAAATATATGTTATGTAAAATAATTTTTAATTAGTCTGAAGTAACTATATTATCTAAAAACATAAAGTAATCAAGAAAAATATTACAATAGCATAATGTTGATATTAACAAGGGAATTTTAATCGTCTATTAACTGTTTTGTTGTTATTATAATCATGTTAATGCATATTGTTTAATAGCCTTCCAAGTATTCCATACATTCCGATATAATGTTTGATATTCATATGACATTTTTATTCTATTAGATACTATTGGAGAACTGATCGTCAACCTTCGCTAGTCGGAGAGGCACCTCAAGAAGAAGAAGATACTAGTAATATCCAGCTATATTTACTTCGAATGACAAGATCGAACACAATTGGAACAAATGAAATTATGAAAGCCCAAATGAAGATGATCATCAAGAATATGTTATGATATATAATAATATTTGAGTGTATATGATTTTTATACTACTAAAACTAGTATTAATTTTTCTCACTAGGGTTGGCGATAAGCAGGCTGCCGGCCGTAAAAATTAAACCAAAACATTAAAATTTATAGAGATCTTTGCGCCAACCTTATGTGGGTGGGATGAGATGATGATTAAAGGCTAATAGCACGTTATAACTACGCTTTCATACAGGCCCTCTAATTTGATATTATAATTAGTAATTTTTAATTAATATAATTTAAAAAGAAATATTTATTTTATATTGCTCTCCTCGGAATTCCGACTTCGTCACAACATATTTATAGCATGGCTATTATTCATTTAATAATAAATACAATGGCAAAGTATTTAATAAAATCGTTAAACTCATAATGTAGTTTAATATTTCTTTGTTTCATTTTTTATTTGCATTTTGATATAGGTAGATATTAGAATAATAAAATAACTTTACGGTTAAGAAATAGGATGTTATACGTAATCTAAAATTAACTTTTAAAAGGATTTCATTCGTTGAGTTGGTTAAGCTAAACTTTACTAACATAGCGAATGAACGAAATTCTAATTAATCAACCGCTTCGTCAGTACAAGCTATAAAAGTGGTCCCAACTGACTACCCAGCGAAACGCGTCAATTCGACTCGGTTTCAATTATTCTCTACGAAGTGGAATCGAGTGGATAACCACAACGGACTACCGAATTAGGTTAAGCACGTACCTCTCCGTGACAAGGGTGACAAATTAAACTTGTGAACAAGTTTGTTGTTAATTTTCAGGCTATGTTTCGCTTTGTTACGATGCTTGTTTTTTCGACACAAAGGTTTTCAAAATTAAAAGTTTCCTAAACTCAATTTGAGTGTTGGCACTTTTTGTATCATTCTAGAACTTTTGCAAATGGAATGATAAGGCTTCAAAAAATTTCTCAGCGTGTAAAATACTCTTGGGACCGTTTGGATTCTTAGAGATTATCTTTAAATAATATGCGCAATGACGACTAATTGCAGAGACGTGATCTTTTAACTTTTGTTTATTTAAATTCGGTAAACATTATAGAATTATGAGGAAAAGCAATAACTTTTTGAGGATGTAAAGAGTTGTGTGTACGTTAAAATAATGTCTAACGATCGTGTTGCCTTTAAAGGGTTGAAAAAAGATTACTTAAGTTATGTATAATGTTGCTTATAATAACAAAATTAAATCGCTCCTGATTTAGAGAAGGCTGAATCGCCTTCATGGTGCAAATGCATATTCGTAACACGACTATATTTTAGAACTTATATCAACAATTGTGCGCCGTCCATCCAAATATAGTATCCGATCAAATTCCATTGACTAAACGACAGATGGTCAGTGAACCCGGACAACCGTGTATCAATTTTATGTTAGATGCAACAGTATTCAACACAATAAAGCACTACAAGACATATTGTTATCTTTGTTTTTTCAAAGATAAAGACAGGGATGACGACATTTTTTTACAGCGTTTTGGGTACAGAATCCATGAGACTGTAAGGAAGTTCGCGGTTTAACTAAATGGTGTAAATCGTATAACGTAATACAGGGAAAAGAAGTCAATAAATTTTTAAAGTCCAAGCACGATAAAAGCACACAGCATCGGTTTTTAGGCAATCATTGTCGAAACAATTAGATAATTGGATGATACCAATTTGAAAAATTTAATTGCAGGGCAGAGGTAGAAGCATTTCATTCGACGAGTGTGCCATAGGCGTATTTTTAGTCCACTTCCGCTTTCCACCCTCGTCTTTCGTTTCGTCTTTTCTAATAAAGAAAAGGAAGAGGAATTGGATTTGGCGGGAGAGTGGATGTATAGGGGACATATCTATTTTTTCTTTATCCTTTTTTCTGTCTCTTTCTTTTGGTATAAAAATGACCACTAATTGATTTATCAATTTACTGTAACACAAGGTTAAAATGTTGGAAAGTTCCTAATATTCTTAACAATAATGACACATGATTACGTAATTTATTAGCAGATCTAACGTCATTCAAATGCGGTTATTGTGATAGGTTTTAGCTTACTTCATACAAAGCACTTAACAGATTAAACAAAGATGGGTAAAAAAGTTTACGGAAATGACGATTGATATTGACGTATGTATTAAAATACGAGCTAGCTATTCAACCCGGCTTTTCGCGGATGGAAATTTTGCATATTGTTGTTGCTTAGGGCTAATGTATCATAATAGTGAAAGATTTTTTGAAGTATGTCCACTAGTTTTTGAGTTGTTTCGTTACAAACATACAGTCTTTTTTATAATATAAGTGTAGATACTTCTATATAGAATTCATTCTGAATGTATGATATTTGATGAAAATTTTTGTGGATAAAATTATTTGGTCGTTCTATGACATAATTTATTAAATCTTACAATAACAGATTCCTTTCCATACGTAATAAATATGAATGAACAGTAGGAATATGTCTGTTAATCAAATAACTATAGAGATAAAATAATCAATGAATGTCTTATTCACGAAATGCAATCCAATATATTTTAATGATTTAAACATATTGCTATTCCGTGATCAATTTTAATACGAACTTACGAAAAACAAGGTTCATTTCACCGGAGCTAGTTTAGTCTTGTCGTTGAATTATTATTGAATATCAATGCAATGAGAAGAAATAACGATTTAAACAAGGGTTCGTACAGCGGGAAGCGATTATTTTATTTGTACTTATCACTTGACTCCGAGATTACACGTGAGTTTAAGAAATCGCCGTAAAAACATACGAATAAACCGTAAAAATCATGTGTGAGTTAGAGAGCTAATAAATAATCTCACTAATATTATAAATTCGAAAGTTTATATGATTGGATATTTCTTAGAAGGTATCTCCAGAACGGCTGCGTGGATATTACTGAAATTTAGCATAGATGTAGAACGTAGTCTAGTACACATAGGCTACTAATGTAATTAATTTTTTTTAATCCTCCGCGGACGAAATCATTGGTGATAGATAGTGTTTTTATTACATTTCTGCAGTGGAAACTCACGTTTACGGTGATCAATGTCAGTTAATTTATCGCGTGAATTATCAGATTTGTTTATTGTCTTTATAATATCAAGTATGAACGAATAATAAAGCGAGGTAATAAAAACATGTTAAAACAATAACAATAATTGACCTCGGAACTTATGAATCATCGATCTGAGGTAATACGCCTCCATACTTCAGTGCAACTTCTGTTAGACTATCTTTTTTTAGAAACCTAGCGATCTCTACATCCAATTAATTTGCTGGGCTTAGAAATTTAATTAATATGAACAGGGGATTTGTTTGTTTAAAATCAAATCTAATTAATATGAAGCAAAAATTAATTATAAAACATCATCTGAGTTGGGTTAGTGACGCGAACATTTCTCGTATAAACTTTGATTAATACACTGTTTTCTATACTAATATAATGAAGATTTGATTAGCACTACACTATCCCGGGTGACATGACTATATTTATTACGAGTTTTTTTAATACCGCGCGGCAACTGTTAATATTTTCTAACTCGGCGTCCGTATCTTACGTTCTTCAAAACAAAAGATATTCGTCAATATTAATACAGAGAATGTTTTCATAAATAATGTTGATAAAAATATGTCAGATATAGACGCTTAGTAGCTACAAAACTATCACATGTTACAGAAAGAGGGTTTCACTGGAGTTTAAAATTTATTAATTTATTTTTTTACATGCTTTTTGATTGAGCAACTAATGCAAATCTGATCACTATAAGTAATAACATTAATTGCTTACCGAGTACAACATACGTGACAAACATATCTTACTATAATAATATTATAAATGCGAATGTACAGATCGATAGGTGAATGGCATACATATAGAACAGTCTAGAAGAACACATAGGTTACTAATTTTCTTTTTTAATTTCACGCGGACGGAGTCTCGGGCGACCGCTGGTTTTAAGCTGGGATTTTTATAACAACCACGTTTTATCGTACGTCTCATAAACTATGAATGGAATATCGATCTCGACGTGTGAATATAAAGAGGATGCGCATTTATACCTACATACATACAAAGGCTGTGAGTTATTCATGACCACGCGGTGACATCACTGTTGTGAATTCCACTTAACAATATTATTGTGTAGGACTCTAACAGTCGGTTTTTACTTCAGAAATAGTTATGCAAAGATATATTGTTCTTTCTCTATTTTTAAATAAAAAGAGAGAGATGACATGATCCTGTTCAGGTGTAATGAAAACTTACTGTACAGTGTTGTATCACAATTCTGGGTACAGATTAGATTCTAGAGCCATTTGTTATATTATCTAAGTGTTCTTTCAAAGTCACCGGCAACTATTGACCAGTCTTAATTGTTTCTTAATTAAATGAACTACAGTTATATTCAGTATCGTTCGTTTAAGTGATGCTAGTCTATGTAGTAATGATAATTTCTTAGGTTTAATATTTGCAGAATAT